AAACAGATGGTTTTCTACTGGATGCTGCTGAATTCACCAAGCTTCGTCCAGCTCCACAGGGCTTGACAGCAGGGCAGTATTCTCAGAAGACAGAAAGTAATTGTAGTAGTCAGGATTGATCTTTTGTACATTTGAAAATTTTCTTGGCGGTACTACTTCCAGTGTCTTTTGCAAAGACTCTGTTATCTTCAGAAGCACTATTCTCACTTAATTGCTTCACTGGGGGCACAGTAGGGATAACGCAGTGTGGGGGTTACACCTAAATGTAAACCCACTTTCCCTTTCCTGTTTGTGACTGACATTCAAAACATTCAAAACCCCACTTTTCCCCACTTTGTGATCTGCAGATGAACAGGCTGAGGACTAACAGTTCATTCCCAGTGTTGGAAAATATACCAAGTTTAAATTTTTTTTATAACTTTAGTCAGTTTTCCCAGAATCACAGAATGAACTAGTCTGGAAAAAAACTTTGAGATCATGAAGCCCAACCTACACCCTGGGGGTGAGGGAACTGAAGTTCCTTTCCAGTGCATTGTTCCACCAGGTGAGACCCAATGTGTTTAACATCTCAACTTTGTGCGTAGCAAAGAAGACACAAAAAATAGCAGCCACCAAGGGCCATCAACTGACCATCAGCTCCAAACAACAGCCCTGGCAGCATTGGAGATACCTGGTCTGAAAAAGGAGATGAGGACCTAATTATCATCAGAGGCAAAGAGATCTGTAACCAATAGGAAACCAAATACTAAGAACTACTTAACTTAGAACCAATGAACATTGAACCAATGAATTTCTATGGGTTTTGACTGTATAAAGTTTGTAAAAAAATTGGTAACATTCATGTGTCATGGAATGATTTTCTCTGCACACTGGGGCTATGTGTGGATGAAGTCACAGCCCATGCTGCCGGACCTGCCCTTCCACACCTGGAGAATCCATACCCCTCACCACAGACAAGCCCAATTAAGTCCTGCGTAGCAAGCAGACAAACCCAAATCCTCCACCCTGACTCCATAACATCCTGAGGAGGGGTGGGGGCTTCAGGACAATACCTCCCTGTTTTCCCTCTCTTGGAAACAAGGAATACAAAAGACTTGCAGCTGGCCCTGTATGATACTGAGGATTTTGAAGATAAAGCAGAGAACTTCCCAATCCTTACTGTTCTTTCCTTATCAATAGACTCCTGCTGCTGTCTGCCTTAACCATATTTCTCCACATGCCAATCAACTCTTTCCCAAACTAACACCATATTGGCCCCTCTGGGTATGGGCTCTTGAAACCCTTTCTCAGAACCTCCTGTTGACCCTCTGGGCTTCCATGTCCTTAACTACCTCCAGAAGAATGTGCAAACCATCTCAGCATTCTCCCAAAGGACCTTTTGGAGGTATTTTGGGATCCTCATCCCTATAGTCGAAACCCTTTTTCGACTTTCAACCCTTTTTCAACTTTTTTGTTGCCCACCCTGGGAATCATGCCATGCTTTACTCCCTAAAATTGTACTCCCCAGTGAGATTTGCCAAGACCCTTCTTGACTTTCCCTTACCATCCTCTCTGGGTGTCTATATCCTGTTGATTCTACAGGGACCCTCCCTGTTCCACCTCTCATCTGTTTCCTAGACAGTCTTGGGAACCCAACCAATCGCCTGGTGCTGGCCAGCACCAAAGGCAGCTGGCCACCAAAACTGGCTGCCTCCAGCTTCTCTTGCCACATGCTGGACCCAGATGGTGGAAGGATCATGGATGAGATCCCAGTTTATAGGAAAATCCACAAATGCCAGAAGTTTACATCCAAAAAGGAGACAGGGGAGTCCTTTATGCAAATAAACAGAGAGAGTCCACCAGGACACACGCCAACAGTGGTTTCTCTTGCAAGGTTTCAGAGGGGACAGTCTCCTTTTATCCTAAACTCCCAGCTGCGTGTTGCCCTCTTGCTTCAATCAGTGGCTAAGGTGGGTGCAAACTAAACTTGGCTGAACTAGGAAGGTGCAGCCTTCCCAAACTGCCTACCACATACCTCCCCCTGAACCTGTCATTTTACCCCAAAGTTCAGAAGTTCAGGCTTGTGCAGACCCACTTCTGTGTTTCACAAGCCAAGATGTCTGGGCTTAGTAACAACTTGCTGCCCTAAGTCAGTAGAGACCTTAAAACCAGTTTAAAAGATATTAACACAAATACTTTCAGGCATCAAATTAGTTGTAAAAACATTAGCTTTCCTCTCAAGAGTCTGAAAGCAAATGGATGCTGTAGCCAAAACATTGTCCTTGGAATCATAGAGCACTTTCTGGGTGTGTGTTTTTATCTGTTTTTCCATGGCCTTTGGGTGAGCACCAAAGGTGACAGCCAAGGGCAAGTGAGCGGGTGAGCAGCAGAGAAAGGCACGGGGAGAAGGGCAGACAGAAAGGCCCCAGATCGCTGGGAAGCAGGAGACCAAGCATCAGTTGCTGGCTCCCAGAGCCACTGGCAGGGCCATGTCTCCTCCATGCCACTGACACTGCACCTGCAGGGCTGAATCCAGCTCTGCTGGGCTCTGCAGCTTGGACGGCAAGGACACAGACGAGCTGGAGCAGGTGCCAAGGAGGGACCCTGAGATGATGTGAGAGCTGGAGCACCTCTCTGTTGGAGCTGACATTGATGGCTGGGTTCCCCTGGGTTCCCCAGGACCGAGACTGACAAGAAAGAGGCTGTTTTCTTGTGTTCAGGCTTAGTTGTTTATTCTTTCCTTATCTATATTACGTCTATACAGAGTACAAGGAGCTACATACACTAAGATAGAAAGGTGCAAAACAGAGAGTGAAGAATCTTTCCAAGGTCTTTTATGTGTCGATTTATCCAATAATCAAATGCCAAGTTATTTTTCTTAGTGACCCAATGACCCAACACCTGTGTTCTGCACTGCAGATTTCTTTATCCAACCACTATTACCTAAAAACTCTTAGAAGAAGAAGATGAAGAAGGAAGAAGAAAGGGACAACACCCTAAATCTTCTATATTTTCTTTTGTTTTCTAATATAACTTAAACCCTAAATCCTAACTTTCTCACACAGTGACTTAAGAAAACTCTACCTAGCCTACACACTCACATTTCCAGTTTCTCCACTTAACTTTGAAAGCTGTCTCCATGGTGTTGTGCTAAACTCAGTGCTCTCTTGGGTGTCAGAGCCAAGCACCACAAATAAGGGCCTATTTTCTGTATCTCTGACCCCAATGCCTCTCCTGCAAGGAAAGCCTGAGATGGGCTTCTTTAGCCTGGAAAAGAGACTTAGGCTTAGGCTTGACTGAACTGTGGCCTACCCCAGTACATGACAGCAACCTACAAGAAAGCTGGACAGGGACTTTGTGCAAAGGCAGACAGGGACAAGGACAAGGGAGAATGGATCCAAGCTGAAAGAGAGTAGGTTTAGATGAGGGATTCAGAAAAAATACTCTCTTGGAAAAGGTTTCCCAGAGAAGGTGTGGATGCCCCGTCCCTGACAGTGTTCAAGGCCAGGCTGGATGGAGCTCTAGACAAGCTGGTCTAGTGCAAGGGGTCCCCAGCCACAGCAGGGGGTTGCAACGATGTGATTTTTCAGGTGCCTTCCAAGCCAAACCATGCCATGACTTTGTGATTCTGGGATACCTCCCCTCCTCGGTCTCTGTCAGGAAAAGAAACTCGGGAGCAAGTTCCACATTGCAGACTCGGTCCTTTGGCAGCCTGCAACTGTCTCAACAGCGGATGAAAAGAGATGCCATTATTGACACAATTTATCCTTTCTACTTGAAAATTAAAGGCTCCACTCTTGTCCACTCTCACACAACCATCAGGACACGGAATTCTCCCCAGGGAAATGCTTCATCTCACCCAAGGAAGAAGAAACCTACAAGCTGACATTTTTATGCATTTCTGTGTTGATTTATTTGGTGATTTCTTTCATAGGTATTTATTTCTCTGCTTGTTTCTTTCGTTGGGCGGAGCGCGCGGCGGCTCCTCCCTTGGGCTCGCTGAGGGAACGGACGAACGGCCGCGCGCTCCGGCGGCTCGGCAGCGGCAGCGGCAGCAGCGCCTCTCTCCATCGGTTTTCCGCTCGACTTTCCGCTCGCTCTCCGTCCCCTTCTCCCTCTCACACTCACTCTACTGCCGTCCCGTGCCGTGCCGTGCCGTCCCTCTCAGCCTCTCCCAGCCCGGCTTATGCCGCGTCCCGCAAGGCGCCCGTGGGCGAGTCGGCCCCCGGCCCGCCCCTGTCGGGCCTGCCGCGGTCCCACCTCGGCCAGGTTCTCTCCGCACTGCTTGTGGCGCCTCTGGAAGAGTTTCTGGAAGAGCTCCTCGCTCTGCGGGTGGCGGAGCGGCACCGTCTTTTGGCTCCGCCTGGTGCGGGCCCTGGCCCGGCCCCGAACGAGGCCCCTGCCAGAG